TCCGAAGGTACGGACGAAGGAGGATCCACAGCAGAGGATTGTGCGGAAGAATCGGTCCGAGCAAGCTGCAGCAGATCGGCGAGGATAACCATGTAAAGCATAACATTTGTCAATTTTGTGGCCTAGTTTGCCACAATGGTCACACTTGACACGCCCTTTGCCTGGCTTGTGAGAGCGATTACGATCATCACGGTGAGAGGCCAAGGCGGATGAATCATTAGAAGCTACAGGGGGAATATTGAGAGGTTTACATGGCACCCGCAAAGGGAGGAACTGGTAGCGGTAAAGCTGGATGTAACAGGGGAACCCAAAATCTGGTCACGAACAGGGGCATATTTATCAGCAAGTCCGTGTAACATCAAAACCATGAAAAACTTTGATCGTTGCTCTAATTCTTGGGCAGGAGTCGAGGCAGGGGGTAATAACTCATTAAATTCATGGAGAAGAGCATGGATCTTACCCACATAATCCGCCACAGGATCCTTATCTCGAGGAGCAATAACATCAAGAAGATTGTAACAAACACCATAAAGACGTTGAGTGTCATTGGTGTATAATAATTTGGCTTGTTCCCAAACGTCATAACATGTGTCATATGATCTAAAAATTTGTTTTAAAGAAGATTGGATGGTATTCTTGAGAACCATACATATATGAGCATCAACTTTCTTCCAACGGACACGATCATTGGAAGGAACATCATCTACCTTGGTAGTAAGATGATCAACATACCTCTGACTCTCAAGCCAAAGTCTAATATCAGATGCCCAAGTTGCATAATTCGTACCATCTAATTTATCAATGGGTAAATTCACATTGACATAATTAGTAAAAACAGATTGCTCAGACCCACCGGAGCTGACAGAGGTAACTTCAGAATTGGAAGTGGCAGCGGAAGATGCCATGGAGGAAGGGAGAGAAAAACCCTAAAACACCAAAGAGGTCCGATTGGAGCAGCGAGGACAGATCCAGAGAGAGGAGAAGGAGGCGACGCCGGCGCAAAGAGTGGCGGCCTGAATGGCGGCGAGACGCGCCGCATTGCGCGGCGGAACAGGAGAAGGTGGCGCGGCTTCGGGAGGCGCGTGGGGGAGCGTGGTTGCTCCGTTGACGGCGAAACTTCCACGGTGGAGGTCGCACGGAGGAGGCGAGCAAAACCCTGTGCTCGGCGGTCCGAACTGCTACTCCGGCGACGGCGGTGGCGGCGGCAGCGGACGGCGGTGGCGACGGTGGCGGCGATGGCTGCAGGTTCAGTGGCAGAGCTGAAAAAAAATCCCAAGAGACCTTAAGCTCATGATACCATGTTAAGGTTCCAACATAAAACCAATTGGCAATATGTGGAGTAGCCTAACATGTATTTAAACCATACCAAATGATATGAGGTAGGCGATGTGGGACACAGGAAAAGAAGATTAAGAACTGTTGGAGGAGGATAAGAAGGATTAGGATCTATGGAAGCTATAAAATCATAAAAGAAAGATTTGGCAAAAACCAAGAAAGAGGATAAACTAGCTTTGGATACCATATTAAATCTTTTAAGAAATATGATTCATTAATAAAGAAAATTACTAATGTTAGTAAACCTCTTCCAAAACCCATATATATAGATATATGTGTGTGTGTCTATATATATATATATATATATATATATATATACTAAGCAGAGGAATACTGCGTAGCATATGGGTAGCATAACCGTTGTAACAAACTACAATTATCAAAACTGTTCAGAAATTATAAAGGAAAAGACATGAAAAAAGCATATCTCTATCAATCAGGTAGCCATGAGAGAAAAAATATAGACTTGAAAATGAGCTCTTAATACCATATATAGCAAATATATTGAAGATAACTAAAATTTATTAATTTATAACAGTTGTGAGTACAATAATTGCTATAGTGTTCATTTATTCTAGCTATCAAGCTTACTTAGCATGTAACTAATTTAAAGTTTGTGAGCATAAATTATTACATATTACGCATATAATGGGTGTAGCTATATATACACTGATCCTGAGCAACTTTTAGTGTTAGAATATGTTAGTTTGTTGCAACTTTATTGGTTTTGCATTCATTTGCAAGAGGATACCACTTTTGGCAAGCATAACACTATATTTCTTTTATCAAAATCTTATCGCCCCTCCTTTGTTTTGATTACTACCCTTCTTGCCAAAATTTTCACGGCCTCCATTCTTCTTATGATTGTCACCACTAATATTCTGATTTGAGAACCTATTAGAACCTTCATTAGAATCTTTCACTTTTGTTCTTCCATTTTCTCTTGATCTCGCTGTCCCAACCATCATTTCTTTGAGATGATTGTCCTTGCAAATCTTGAACTACAGCTCTCTCAACACTTCTTTCAAGAAGCCTTTCTTCATGAGCTTCAAAATAATTTTGCAGCTCCTCCACCTTCATCTTCTTAATATCCTGAGTCCTCCACAATGTGGTAAAACTAAAGAGTCAAAGTTCTTAAACCTTCTCAATTTTCTCCTACTAATATTTGATCAACCATGGACAACAACATATTCTCTACAAAGGGGGGGACTGAAGCATCACTTTCTTTATTTTATCAGCACCTCCATATGATTTGTTCAAACTATCCAACGCATCCCTGGCCTAATTTGTTGAAGATATCTTCTCAAAATTCGTAGAATCCACACATTGATGGATCTAAAAGAGATTTATGCAGTCTTTCTTCTTAGATTCCCTGTGAACTCCACTTTATGCCTTTGTAGCACCTCCTCTACTTCTTTAACACCATTCTTTACAATTTCCAATATTTCTTGGATTCTAAAGATGAAACATCTTGATACAATCAATTTTTTTGGCATCAAGAATTGGAAAGTTGGCAGGAAAAGACCCATTAGAACCTACCATGTTTTACACTCTAACCATTGTAGAATTTCATTTGAAAAGGATTTGCAAAACATATGGAAAACCCACACAGTAAAGAGTTTCTCATACAACATAATGCCTTAGAAGCTATTGGGCATCACAAATAGGTCCCTAATCAAAATAGCCCCAAATACCACTTTTTAGAGCACACACTAAACACCCCCACAAAAACAAAGAATAAAAGGGAGAGAGAAGAAGAGATATTGGTACTGAATTTGAAATTTTATGTCTCACACATATGTATCACATACTACATCATTACTATTTATAGTACTATTACAAGCAATTAACATCCCGCTAACAAACTAACTAACATACAACACTAAATTAATTATCTACAACAGCTGGCGCAGAGCAATGCGAGAAGTGAAGTGTGCCTTGTAAAGCAATGGTACTTAGGACTTGACCCCTTTCCCATCTTGCAAAACAATGGTAGGTTGTTGTTGGCTTTTCACTGTTAAGGTTGGCCTTGAGGATAAGATCAATCACCTCAAAGATTGCTGGATTGCAAAAGGATATACACATATTCATGGCTTGCACTATATTGATTGTTTCGACCCATAGTGAAAATGGCCTAAATTTAACTTTTCTTATCCATGGCTGCTCTTTTTTACTAGCCTTGTATTAGCTTGATATTAAAAATGTTTTCCTTCAGGGTGATCTTTTGGAAGAAGTTTATTTGGAGAACCTCAAGGTTTGTTGTTCAAGGGGAAATGTTAGACCTTGTTTGTTGCCTTCATAACTCTTTATTTGGACTCAACAATCTTTTAGAACATAGTTTGGTAGAATGAACATGATTGTTCAACAATTTGACATGCACCGAAGTGAGGAAGGTCACACTATCTTCTATTGCCACTCAAATAAAGGAAGTACTTATTGTATATGTTGATGATATTTTTAATATAAGTGGTGATTACCAGGAATCACTCAGATAAAGCAACATATTTGCTTATTTTCAAACCAAAGATGTTGGCAAACTTAGGTATTTCTTGGGAATAGAAGTTTCACGATGCTAAGATGGTATTTTGACTTGTTAGAGGAAATATAAAATAGACATTTTAGAGGAAAGTGGCTTGCTGAATGCTAAGCCTGCAGATACCCTTATGGATCCTAACACAACTATTTGCAGATTAGGGAAAGCCCTTTTTAGACCTTGAGAAGTTACTAAAGATGGTTGGGAAACTAAACTTCCTCACTATTACTCGTCCAAACATCTCTTTTGTAGTCAATTGTTAGTCAATGTGTGAATAGCATTGGAATGCTATGGTTCATATTCTAAAATATATTGAGGAGCCAAGGGAAAGGCGTCTTGTATGAAGACAAGGGTCCCTCCTGGATTGTGGGATACTCACATGTAGACTGGGTTGACTCTCATATTGATAGGAAGTCTACATTGGGGTATTGTATCTTTTTGGCAGGAAATTTAGTTGCCTGCTGGAGTAAGAAGCAATATGTTTTTGCTAGGTCTAGTGCTAAAGCGGAATATCAAGTCATGGCTTTTGCCACTCGTTAGCTGGTATGGCTGAAGCAACTACTTAAAGAACTTGAGTTTGCATATACTTCTCCTATGACTCTTATATGCCACAATCAAGTGGCTTTGTACATTGCCCACAGTAGAATATTTGTCTCTAGTGGCAGACAGCCCGGCAAATGTGCCTGCTATTATTTTGCCCTCTATTTTCTTAGTGGAATGTGTGATTTATCCTATTTTATGTTATTGGAAAAAGAAAATGGATGTGGGGGAGGTATTTGAATATGTTTTGATGAAGAAACGTAAAACTGTGATTTGTTCTGTTTTTTTTTTCTCCTTGGCTTCTCGCATTTGATATTAATGATTGTGCGGTTTCCTGCATAATCAGTTTTCTTCTTTAACATTTCTTTCGTGTATATTAGTCTCTTTCTTTTTAATTTGTCCTAGACAAGTTCTTTTCTTCTCTTAAATTAAAAGTTAGTACTAGCTCTCAATTGAACTAAGCCAATATGTTTATGTATTCATGAAATTGCTTTTCAGACCATGGATTCTGTTTGTTTACCCTTATTTCTTTAATCAAGTTTTGTAACATTCTTTATGACCTGTAATCTCTTTTTCATTTGTCTTCATGCAGGAAGCAGAGTCAGCTACACTTGATGCAATATCTAAGTCCAAGTTGGGAAGTGTATGACGTTGTAATCTGGCTATTGTTTTGAACACATTTGGTTTTTTGTTTTAATTAATCATTTTGTTATCAAGTTGTTTAAAGCTATGAGTGCACATGTCATACCTATGTTTGTCCATATGTCTGTACATGGTGGCAGTTATCTGTTTTATTGAAAATTAATCTGAATGAACTTGTTTAGATTGTATTTTAGGATAAGTTATTGTTAAAGTTTGCTCATTTTTCATGGTTTGCTTTCATTGGAGGCTATATTTGGAGTTTGATTTTCAATCATGTTGGGGATGAAATGGTTTTTTAGCTTGTCATCTATAAGAGGATACATAGCAGAGTGTGTCTACCATTAAAATTGGAAGGAACAGGAAACAGAAGCACTTCTAAAATGTGATTTTATTTTTTTGTTTCTTTGTGAGGGTGTTGTGAGTTCCTATATTATCATTTGTATGAGTGCCCGCAATTAAAATTTGTTGAGATGTAAGTTTGAGAAAAAGAATCCGGAGCTTCTTGGAGTTAGTAAATGATAGAAGAATTACATAATGAAAAATCCAGTCATGTTTGTTGTTTTGGCTGGTAAAATGAATTTAGAATACAATTTTTAATTGCATTTGGTTGTAGTTAGACAAAATTTTAGAAGAATGAATAAGACTTGGCATTTTTGGAAGGTGTTTTAGCTGAGAACTGAAATGATTAATTCATATGGACAGTGAGCATATTTTTCTCTATTTCTCTACACACAACAAAAATTACAAATACAGATGCGATAACATTAATGTTATCTTATTTTCTTACAGACATCTTCTGGAAATTCATGGCTGAGTTCTCTGATTTCTACAATTATTGGAAACCTCAAGATATCAATCAGCAATGTGCATATCAGATATGAAGATTCAGTCAGGTCGGTTGATAAGTACAATTTTAATTTTCTTTCACAATACAAGTAGGCACGAAAATTGGCATTATCTATTTCTTTTTTTTTTCATTTTTTTTAATAAATGAAATTTCAGTTTTATTTATTTACATTTGCTTATGCGAATAAGTGTTGTTTGCAGTAATCCAGGCCATCCATTTTCTTCAGGTTTGACTTTGGCTAAGGTTGCTGCTGTTACAATGGATGAGCAGGGGAATGAAACTTTTGATACAAGTGGTGCTTTGGATAGGTTGAGGAAGGTGAAGAGTTCCTACCTATGAAATTTTTATTAACAGCATTTGATATTAATTCTAACTTTACAAACCAAATTGAGACATTCAAAGTTAGTTTTATGTAGTAAAGCATCATATTTTTAAATGTTTTTTATGTTGTAGTGTGTATAGTTTGTGTTTTTTTTCTTCTATTGGTTGGTTGTACAGAATTGATTGTGCAAATCTTAGTAGCTTCTAGTTTATAGCTTTGCCTATCTGTATATAAAGATCTGTAAGATTTTCTCTTGTTCATTGAGTGCTTATCAGTAGACAAAGACTATAACTAATAGCCAGTGTGCAACTCTATTTAAGAGCGTAGTAACCCAGGCACATTAAGTTGGCCACTTGACTTACACCATAGAACAATTAATGCATCCCACAACATTCTTTCATTCTTTCTCTCAACAATTGTCCCATAGAAATTGAACTTGTGACCTTGACTATAGTACTAATTACTAGATTGAGTGCTTACTACTACACTAAAAGTTATAGTTGATAGTCAAGGTGTAACTATTTCTAATTAAGAGTGTCACAGTCCAAACACTACTATTTGATTGTGAAGGATATTTTTGGGAGCTGATGAGGGTTATGATTCTCCCAAAGTTTTGTAACTTCCATATGTATTTATGATTTTGGCCTCCCTAAAATTTTGTAACTTCCATATGTATTTATGATTTTAGCCTTCCAAACTTAATAATTATTACATAATAATTATTACATATATCTGTTTGTATATTTGCAATTTGTCTTCTCACCTTTTTATTTTCTTTTACATTTTTTATATTAATTTATTATTTATTAATAATATATCACTTGGTCCCCTAAAATCAATGGTCAAGATCTGCCACTAGACTTGACCTACATGATCTTTGTCATGGGATAAATGATTCATTCCACTGCATCTCTCTATGTAATTTGAATACTTTCCAGATTAATGAGCCATTTCTAGTTTTTTACATGGTATTCATAATTTCAGAATAAAATGGACAATATTTGACTCTATTCTTCCAATAGCCAGATGTTTAATACAGTCATTGTTTGGTACCTATAATATTTGATCCTCTTTGATATAGTTCAATCTTGTTACCTCCATTTTTTATTATTTTGGTCTGACAAATATTTGTTCTCACTACAGTCAGTGCAACTGGAGAGACTAGCTCTTTATCACGATTCTGACCAGCTTCCTTGGGAGATTGATAAGAGATGGGAAGATATCAATCCACAAGAATGGATTGAGGTTTATTCTACTTTGTTTGATAACTTTAATCTTATTCTGTGAGCTACATTTATATAACTGTGAACTGCTTTCCTTTATTGGTATGCTACGTGACTTTTTGCGTTATTTTTCACATGTCATTCATTTTTGTTTGTACTAGATATTTGAAGATGGCATAAGTGAGCCTACTGATGATCCTAAGTTTGTATCTAAGTGGGCTATGAATCGTGCATACTTGGTTTATCCTATGAATGCAGTTCTAAAGTATCATCGACTTGGAAACCAAGAGAGAGTTAATCCAGAAATTCCATTTGAGAAAATTACGCTTGTCCTTACAGATATATCACTTACTCTTACAGAGGTATTTTAACTTTTTAATTATTTGATATTTTTATTGAATCAATGCTGATTTTTGTGCCAAACAGGATCGTGATTAAGAAGGCAGCTCTAGAAGCTTGGAATACTGTTTTCTTCGGTTTTTGTCCTTAGTCATGTTATTTTCAATTTCATTTTTTAAATTTATATCAGAGTATGATAGGACACTTGTGTTGATTAGTCTGCTGAGCTGGCAGCAGTTGTTATCTGTTAACAGTTAGTTACCCTAATCATTAATACTTAGCTTGCTTATTGTGCGCTAGCAACTGATTTCTTTATAAGTTCAAATTTGTAAATCACTTCCTTCTGTCAGACTTTTTCACTTTGTGCGAATTTGTCTTTACTTTTTCTTGTTTCTTACTTTTCAAACACATTGAAATTCTAACAATTTACATTGTTATTTTATGTGCATTGATATTTTATAATGATACTAAAATACATATGCTACTAAAACTCAGTCAAGCCTGTTATTGATTTGTTATGGTATGTACAACAATTAAATATCTGAACAACATAAGGTCCTCACACATGCCTATCTGGTTCTGTAGCTAGTTCTTGTAGATAAAGAAGATTGAGAAAAAGAAAAAAAAAGGAAAACCGGATAGTGCAGCGAGTGAGAGATGCCCTGCCTCCTTTTGAACCTTTGCACCCAATTCTGATCTGTCTCTGCCAATTGTCCCTCCTTAACCTTTGTTTCCACCTACTCTATAAATTCAACTTTGATTTCCTTTCCCGTTGTGTGCCACATAAGTATTCTTTTAATGCCAGGGTGACGACACTCGAATAGAAGGAAAACAATTTAGGGTTAGGTTTTAAGAGTTGATTTGATTGGAAATAGAAAACTGAAAAAAATAAAGGATACCGTAGGCGCCACAAATAAGAATATTTGATAAGCCAAGAAGGATCGCCACAAGAATCGAATAATTCTTGATAAGATCAAGTGATGCAAGGAAGAACCCTAGGAGAGCAACAACTCACAAAGTGATTCTGAATATTACGTACGTTCATTCTGAATTTTCAAATGTGTAATACAACTTAAGTTTATGAGTTTGTCTCATTGTAGGAAATAAAGATAAATTAAAATCCTAATATCCCAGGCAAAGTTTAGTTGCTCAGATGGTTCAGTGAAGACATTATAAGCTTTGGGTCTTGGGTTCAAATCCCCACTGTAGCAAATAAAATAATAATAAAATCTAAATCTTTTAGTTGGGCCTCCTAGCTCTCCAAACATTCTATGCATGTGATAGGTCTAGACTCTTCCATGTTTGGATCTTCTAATAGTTGGGCCTTTAGCAAATTGGTCACTTTATGTTGCAATGCCTCTTGTGCTTTTCTGAGCCTGCCTCTTGTCATAGGTCCACCTAAGTCTTGGATTGGATCTTGGTCTTGATCCTTCTCGTTATGGGCTTGAGCCTTTATGTCCACATCATTCCCTCCTTCTTGGGTAGCATTTGTCCTCAAATCTATGAATTCATCTCCTGCATCAAAAGGAGTCAAGTCAGCAACATTAAAAGAAGAACTTACATTATATTCTTCTGGTAGATTAATCTTATAAGCATTATCATTGATCTTCTCTAAGACTTGGAATGACCCATCTCCTCTAGGTTGAAGTTTAGACTTTCTTTGTTCAGGAAACCTTTCCTTTTTCATGTGTACCCAAACCCAATCACCAGGTTGGAACACCACCTTTTTCCTACCCTTGTTAGCTTGCCTCACGTAGCTCTCATTCTTCTTTTCAATTTGAGCTTTTACTTGCTCATGCAGCTTCTTCACATATTCTGCTTTAGCCTGTGCGTCCTTATGCTTAAACATAGAAATGTTAGGCAAAGACAACAAATCAAGAGGAGTCAAAGGATTAAATCCATACACAATCTCAAATGGTGAACAATTAGTGGTGCTATGGATAATCTTATTATAAGCAAACTCAACATGTGGTAAACATGCTTTCCAAGTCTTAAGATTTTTCTTTAAAATAGTCCTAAGCAATGTGCCTAAAGTCCTGATGACTACCTCAGTTTGACCATCAGTTTGTGGGTGATGACAAGCAGTAGAAAACAATAATTTAGTACCAATCTTACCCCACAAGGTCCTCCAATAGTGACTAAGGAATTTTGAATCCCTATCACTCACAATGCTCCTCGACAGTCCATGTAGACTTACTACTTCCTTGGAAAGCAAATCAGCCATATGACAAGCATCATCTACCTTCTTGCAAAGTATGAAATGTGTCATCCTAGAAAACCTATCAACAACAACAAACACATAATCCTTTCTGTGAGAAATCAAATAGTATTTTAGGAAAGAATAAATAAGGAAATTTGTATATTTCCTTGTAATCTGTACAGATTTGAATAATTAGGAACAATCCCATAAATCAAGGGATCCTAGCATAAAATAGAGTTATTATATTTCCTAAAATAGTTTAGGTCTCTTGTATATATCTTATATCATCTCTTTGTATTGATATAATAAAAATCATATTTCAGTTAATCTATTTTTCCAGATGGTATCGAGCTTCCGATCTAGGAAGCTTTGTCTGCGCTCGATAAACCCTAAGACGGCAGCCTGCATTGCTGCTGCATATTTTGTAACCCTAAGACGGCAGCCTGCATTGCTGCTGCATTTTTCTTAACCCTAAGACGGCAGCCTGCATTGCTGCTGCATATTGTGACCCTAAGACGGTAGCGTGCATTGCTGCTGCATTTTTCTTAACCCTAAGACGGCAACCTACATTGCTGCTGCATTTTTCATAATCCTAAGACGACAGCCTGCATTGTTGTTGCATCGCACCTTTTTGCTATAATGTCAAGGGAAGAGGAGATAGAAAGGGTGAAAACCATTCTTAGTAAGCTGGAAAAACCTACGGGTATGTGTTCTTTGGCATACTCGGGTAAGTTTCCACCTTCTTTTGGATTAAATGTCTCGGATACGCCTTTTAACCATTATTGGATATTGGACTCTGGAGCCACAGATCACATGACACCATTAGCCAAACACTTCTCCACATATTCCCCATGTCCCAAGCAACAAGAAAATTGCCACGCAGATGGAACCCTTATAAGCTGCAGTTGGTCAAGGAAATATCCAAATCAATCCTTTAATAACCTTAAAAGACGTTCTCCATGTCCCAAAGTTGTCCACGAACCTAGTGTCTATACAAAAACTTATAAAGGATTTGTCATGTAAAGTTGTTTTTTCCAACGATCATTGTGTATTTCGGGATAAGGATTCGGGGAGGATGATTGGACATGCTAGAGAATGGAATGGCCTTTATTATCTCGAAGATCCAAGTCTCGCCAGACAAGAATAGAATCTCTCACTCCTTCATATCTGAATCCTTGATGACCAACGAGAGAAAAAATCATGCTTTATCATTGTCAGTTGGGACATCCATCTTTTGGAGTAATCAAAATTATATTTCCCTCTCTCGTTTACCAAGTTAGATGTTGAGAGTCTTCATTGTGAGGTGTGTGAACTTGCTAAGCACAAACGTATATCTTTTCCAATAAGTAATAGAATTAGCAATTTCCCTTTTTATCTTGTTCATACTGATGTATGAGGACCTTCTAATATTCCAAATGTGTCTGGTACTAGATGGTTTGTCACCTTTATAGATGACTGTACAAGGGTCACTTGGGTTTTCCTACTTAAACAAAAATCAGAAGTCAATTCTGTCTTCCTAAACTTCCACTCCATGATAAAAAATCAGTTTGGTGTTAATATTAAGAGGCTTAGGTCAGATAATGCCAAAGATTACTTCAATCATGTCTTTAATTCTTTTTGTCAAAAAGAAGGTATAATTCATGAGTCCTCTTGTGTCAAAACACCACAACAGAATGGGGTCGCAGAGAGGAAAAATGGACATCTATTAAATCAGACTCGGGCATTGTTGTTCCAAAAAGGTGTCCCAAAAAATTTCTGGGGGGAAGCTGTCCTTACAGCAACATACCTTATCAATAGACTACCCTCTAGAGTCTTAGGATCAAAAAGCCCTATAGAAGTTTTGTCGTCTTTCTATCCAAACTTGTCTACTACAAATAATCTTAAATCAAGAGTTTTTGGGTGCATCTCATATGTCTATATTCATAGTACAGACAGGGGAAAACTTGATCCTAGAGCCTTAAAGTGTCTTTGTTGGTTACTCACCCACTCAAAAAGGGTATAAATGCTACCACCCCCCATCCAAAAAATTCTGTGTCTAGGGATGTTACCTTAAATGAACAAGAGGACTATTTCCATCAACCTTATCTTCAAGGGGAGAGTTTCAGGAAAGATAAGGAAAGTAGTGATTCTGGTTTTCCCATTCTTCCAGACTTGATATTTGAACCTAAACAAGATCAAATTGAAGATCAAATTGAAGTTGTAACCAATGAAACAAGTCAAGGAATTGGTCAAGCAAAGGAAGTTGGTCAAGAAAGTGAAATTAATTGTGAAACTGATCAAGAAGATGTTGAAACTGGAAAATTTGGTAAGAAGCTGGTGTACTCAAGGAAGACTAAGGCCATTCCGAGGATCAAGCCATGTTCAAGAATCCAACTCGACTCCACAAAAAGAGGTAACAATTTTTTCTCCAGTATGCAGGTTGAAATTGAAACCCAAAATGATTCTGACCTCCCAATTGCCATTAGAAAAGGAACAAGAAAATGCACCAAACGAGCCACTCTACCCTCTCTCAAATTACCTGTCCTTTAAAAATTTCTCTCCTACCCATAAAACATTCCTAGTAAACCTAAACACCGTACTTCTACCTAATACCCTATCCGAGGCATTGTCGACGAGAAAATGGAGGCAAGCCATGGATGAAGAGATGGAGGCATTGGAGAAGAACAACACTTGGGAGTTAGTCACCTTACTAATAGGAAAGAGGCCAGTTGGATGTAAATGGGTCTATACAGATGAAATACAAAGCTGATGGATCAATTGAGAGATATAAGGCAAGACTAGTTGCCAAAGGGTTCACCCAAACCTATGGAGTTGATTATTTGG